CTCGGACAAATGAATAGAGGGTTGTCTTATTTGTCATTATAATGCACTTTCGCCGGTCTAATGTGAACAGATGAGCATTCCAATCTACTAGCGGGTCTACTTTTTGTGATTTGTCAACTGGTAATAGTCTAGAAGTCCCAATTAGTTTTGAAAGTTTCGTCGAGACAAATATTGTCGGCATATTTTAAGGGCAATAACGCCTAACGTTGACGGCTTGCCGCAGGGATGGAATTCTGTGTTCGGTCTGCCCGGACAAATGACGATTGAAAAAATAATTTACAAAATAATATCAAATGTTCAGATTTGAGGTCCTGCCCGGAACTGATGTTGAACAGCGATTTGCTGCCGATGGCTTTTCCGTCTGCCAGCCTTGCGGCAAGCTGATGTTACATGCCGCTGTTCGCGGGCTTTACCGTCTGTGACTTATATAGCAAAACCAAATATTCTTGAATTTCAACATTATTTTCTGAGGCTTGTGCCAGCCAAATCTTAATAAGGTCTTCCGTCTTTGTAATAGAATCAAATTCAGGGATTACATTTTTCGTGATAATCATTGCAATTTCGTCCGCTGCGATATTTGCCAAAGCCAGCGATTCAATTGTCCACCATTTGTCATTGGGTTCTTCCAAATAATCGCCAATACGTTTTATATAATGTCCCTGCAAATGAGATGTAATTACCTTGCCTTGAAGTTTATGTAATAACTCTGAGGCAATTCCAATATTAAAAGTTGCCTTCAATATTTTTGATGTTGAAACCGTACTGCTTTGTAAACCGATGTAATAAGTCAGGTCACCATTTGAAAATTTAAAATGGGTTCCGCTTTTTTTAAAGTGTCTTGGTTTAAGCACCTCGTTTACTTTGTTAAGAATTATTTTTTTTAAGTCAGTTGAAGCCATGTAGTATTTTGATGCAGTGGCATGTAACGTTGACGGCTTGCTGCTGTGCTGGGGATTCTGTAATCCGTCTGCTTAACACCGAAGCCCAATAGAATTACTAATGTTGAATTTATTACTATAGCTCGATAGAAACCCGTTGGACCATAACCACAGCTGATAGCAAAACAAAACCCCATAATCCATCCATCTGCCAGCATAGCAGCAAACCGATGTTAGGCGAAGTCAATTGTCGATTGCCTGATGAAATTGTATTTGCCTATGGTCAGCCAGTTTTCCATCGAATACGTCCCACGCAAATTAATAACTTCAGAGTCTGTTTTTATTAGCTGTCCCGTAATGTTTGAAACTTTACGATTAGTAGAAAAGATTGCTACGTGCCCTCGAGCATGAGGGCCATTAATGAAATAATCTTCGTCTGTCAAAGTAAACTGCGTTCCAAAAGAATAAGAACTCAAACGAGAATACTGTTCTATATTTTCGATGTCCTTCC